ACCCACACGGTGGATGGGGAAACTGAGTCTTGGAGGCTGTCCACTTACCTCCACACGTATGCGCTAGCATGCACATGCACACACATGTAAACAGTAAGTAAAAAACGAATGCAAAAATAAAGATAATTCTGCATCCTACAGATTTACCTCGTTTCAATTACAAGAGTCAGACGATATGGACACTGAGCTATGTACACCTGCTCTCAAGCCTGTGCTCTCATCTTCCCCAGTTTCACAGTCTCCGTCTGTGAAGTGGGCTGGCATTTTTCCCTCTCACCAGATTGTTGTGGTTAACTATGGAGTGGATTTGAACACAGCATCCAGAGCACTGGAGGAATTAGAACAGCTCGCACAATGAACCCAAGGCTATCTAGAAGCATCGTAGCCACACACTACCGCGAGTCTGAAAGAGTGGCCGCTTCGACAGCCTGGGATCAGGGGTCAAGACCTGTGGGTCCCTGGAATACAAGGATAGCGCTCTCCGCCGTTCTGATTGGATAGAAGGGGAACAGATGTGGGAGGGTTCCATTTCTCATCCTTCCCTGGATCCCCTGGGGTCTCCTGTGGTGAAAAAGGAAGCCACACCCAGGCAACTGAGACTAGGCGGGCCCGCAGGAGCAGAGCGGTTTTGATTTCTCCTATCCCTGAGTTAAGGCCTGTCTGAACTACAGTTCCCATCAGGGAGGCTCTCGAGAGACCCAGAAAGAGCATCAGGGGAGGGAGGGAGAGCTGCATTGTGGGAATTGTAGTTACTGTGAACAGTTTCCTGTAAGGAAAGCTACCCTGCAGCAGAGCAGGGGATGTATTTGATACGGGGAAATCAAGTTCTGGGTTTCATTAATAAAAGAATTTAAGAATGGACTCAAGTGGAAATGCGCGGACAGTTTTGTTAGAGTTTAAAATAAAAACTCCGGGGCAGGCAGGCTGTAAAACCTCATCAGCTGCCTGGAGGAGACAGGAAAAAGGGAGAGTGTACCGTTTAAGCTGCCACCGAAGTCAGGCGTCTCACAGACAAGCAGCCCAAAACGTTAAGGAAGGCGTGCTTAGAAAAAAGAAGGAAGGAAAAACGACCCCTTTCTGAATGATTCAGGAAAGTGGGCAGACTTGTGGCCCTTTGTGGTACTGTAGGCTTCTAGGCTGTGCAGGAGGATTCTGGGAAGTAAAGTACAGTGTCTCACGGCAGGACTTTAGCATGGCTTTAGAGAAAGCCCACCTTCCTGGGATGTTAGGTCAGAGCGTCTACTCTCTCATCAGGAGGTTGGCTTGCTGTTTTGCTTTCTGCTGTATCAGAGGAAACCCCATCTGAGTGACGGCATCAGTGGGACTGTGTGAGACTCAAGGATGAGAGATGGCAGTGGCCGTCACACCCCCACAGCCCCGCCCCACGGTGTGAGGGACACGCTGCAGGAAGCTGTGATCTTGGCCTGAGCCCATCCCTTGAAGCTGGGCTGGCATTTTGAAGGCCAGAGGAAAGCAGGAAACGCAATAAGGGGGCAGCTGCCTTAGGGGGCAGGCAGCTCCCCAGGTCCTGATGACATTTATGTGGGTGTCAGGGATCCAGCTTGGGGATCCAGCCTCTGCTCCCCACTATTCTGCAGCAGGTGCTTTACCCACCGGCCCCAGCCGTCTCCCCAACCCCTTCTGCCATTTTATTCCTGTCTGTGTGTCTCTGTGTATGTGTGCATGCGCATCTGTGTGTTTGTGTGTGTCTGTGTATGTGTGCATGCACATCTGTGTGTGTCTGCGTATGTGTGCACACTCATCTGTGTGTTTGTGTGTGTGTATGTGTATGTGTGCATGCACATCTGTGTGTTTGTGTCTGTGTATGTGTGCATGCACATCTGTGTGTGTGTCTCTGTGTATGTGTGCATGCCCATCTGTGTGCTTGTGTGTGTCTGCATATGTGTGCATGCACATCTGTGTGTGTTTGTGTGTGCATGCACATCTGTGTGTGCATGCATACATATCTGTGTGTGTGTGTCTATGTGTGTGGACACACATCTACACATAAACACCCCCCCCCCACAATCTGCGGGTGTGTCTCCAGGTCATAACAGACCCTGAATTCTTAAAGTTGTTTCTAATTTTTTGTTACGTGTGGCTGGAGTGACTGTTCTCTCTGGCTGACAATTGAAACTCTAAGTACTATGTTTTCAGAGGCCAAAAGCATGCATACTTTTAAGTCTCCTGACATACACTGCTAAGCCATCCTTCAGAAAAAGCTCCCTGATTTTGGTTCTTTCTGCTGCGACTGTTCTGGGGAGGCTCTTCCTATGTGTGTATACCAGCAGAATTATTATTTTATATCTGCCAGTGTGATAGGTGAAAATGTGTAATTTTTATTTTCCCTAATTACTAGTGCAATTGAGATCTTTTTCTACTTATTAGTCTTTTATATTTCTTCATTTGCTGATAAAACTGGGCTCCAAACCTTTATGCACAATACGATCCTAAGTTTGTTAGAAACGGACAAAGCTAGCCAGGAGACACGTGTGCTGTGGCCACGTCAGGGCAGTGGGGGATGTAAACAAATTCTATTTCTCATTTTCAAATTTGTTCATTCTCCAAATTATACATGATGAACAAGCATTGTTTCCATAGCCCAAGACGATGTGATTTTTAAAAGAGACAATTATAATGATCTTATTAAAAAGAGTCCAAAGTTTTCAGATGGAGTTGGGAGTCAAGAAGAGTCCCCAAGGTCACCAAAACGCACAGTCCAACAGAACTGCCAGAGGCATCACAGCCTCCTTGTCACTGCAGACACCCGCACGCAGCCTCTGCAAAGGGCAAAGGTGAGCCTCCAGGGGCAGGGCAGCAGGCCCAGGACATGGCCAGTGGGTACCAGGCGCTCACAGGCATCCGTGGGTAATTACATCCCCTTTTAACGCATGCAAATTGTATCAGTATTATTTATATATTCAAAGCCACGGATGAATAATATATGCATTTATGCAGAGGTAATTGCCTTAGCCAGGTTCTTCCTGGGACTTTTATTGTCTCCCCAGATACTGAATATTCAACTCCCCTCTCCAGCAGTGGCACTGTCTGCAGCCTGCCCTCCTCCAGGGAAGGGGCTAGTTTTGCAGGGAAGGGTTTGGTCGGGGGCACGCGGGTGGGTGCTGTTCCCCCTACACCACACTTGAAGATGAGGAAGGAGGCCAGGGGCTCGCACCAGGGCTCAGCGTCTGGCTGTAAACTGTCTGGCATGTATCTCTGTTAGACCTGGGCATTTCCTGTGCACACTGCCAGCCCCAAGTGCAGGGTCTGCACCTTCTGTCCTGCTGACAGCCTTGGTTTGGACCCCTCTCCTCTTGCCTTCGCCTTTGCACAAACCACGTAGCTGCGTGAGTGGGGCGCAGGCGGGAGTGGGGGGGCAGTTTAAGCAGACACCCTGTTACTCTGCTTGTCCAGTTGAGGTAAGTGCCCCATCTTTTTAGGTATCCCCACACGGAGAGATGAGAGGGGATGCTGTGGGGGAGGGGATCCATCAGCAAGGCGTGGCTGGCTGGCTTCCTTCTAAGCATGCTTTGTCTGGGAAGGTCCCTATCTTTTGAAAGTGGTTCGGGGGCAGCACCTGCGCCCCACACGTGACCCTCACCAGGGCTTGGGATCACAGGGTAGCGCATGGGAACTGTTTTAAGAAAGTTGACAGAGAAGTGAGTTTTGGTGAAAAGACAAGCAGACTCCAGCGGCACCTTGAAAGCCAGGCGCTGTGCGGTGGAATGAGCGAGGTGTTCATGGGAAGCTGGGTGGGACACGGGGCACAGGACAGGGCAGGAACTGTGACCGAGTGGAAGCAGCCATCAGCGGTGTACAGGGGACTCTTCTCCTGAGGTCACTCTCATGCTTACAGATCAAGCTTTGGACAGGCTGTCTAGTTACAGCCACCGCTCCGGTGAGCTTTCAACCCCACCCTGGAACAGACTCCTGGCGTCGGTCCCCAACACTGGCTTCTACCCACTGGGCTCCCGTGTGCCTTGTCTGCTCAACAGTCCATGTGGCCGTCTCAGTCGGTGTTCCTCTATCACAGAGTACCACGGGCTGGATCATTTGTAAACAGCAGAAGGTCTCCTGGCTTTGGAGACTTGGACATGCAAGAGTATGGCGCATTTGGTGCAGGTCCCTATGCTGTCGCAACAGCTCAGGGCATGAAATGGTAGGGTAGACAGAAAGGTAAAAAGGGCGAAACTCACAGATTCTGGGAGGAACCTACTCCCATGGCAGTCAGCCACTTTCCCGGTGGCTGCTTCAGACCATGTAGGAGGCAGAGCCTGGTCACCCTGAGGCCCTTTCACAGTGTTACAAAGGCCATTACACTCCTATGTGAGTTTTGTAAGGACAAGATACGTATTTAACATGTGCACACCATGGTCCTGACTCTCTGCCACCCCCACAGCCCCTGGCCTGGCAGGTGTCAACTCTTCACCCCCCCGCTCCAGCCCAGCCCCTAGCTCCATTGCTGACTCCTCTCTGTCAACCTAAATCCCACCTGTGGCGAAGTCTATGACACCCTTCCCGTGTATCCCGAGCCAGGCCGCTTTGACTGCCTCTGCTGCCACCAACCTGGTGCAAGCCCATGTCATGTCGGCCTCTCGCATTTCTCTGCGCGATGCTGTTTCTTTTACAGTAGCTGCTTGCATCCCCCTCACCTAAGGACGGTTGTCTCCCCTGCTGTAGCCTCCACTGGGAGCTGAGCCCTGGCCTTGCAGTGACCTCTGAAGGCCCCCATGGTCTTCCCCTCTGCCTGAAGCTCAGTCTCCTCTCTCCATCCAGCCCTCCGTGCTGCTGGGAGCTGGCCCAGAGCCCTGCCCCGGGGTTGCAGGTGGCAGCTGCTGGAAGTCAATCATCGCAGAAGTCATTTAAGGTGAGATGGAAACCCACCTGCCGACCGCGTATCCGGGGCTGCCTGGACACAACCACCTTCTCGGCGAGGTCTGCTCCAGGCCGCAAGGGGACAGAGAAGCTGCAGATGGCAAAAGGAATGTCATTAGCCAGGGTGCAGTGGGCTCAGGCAGGACTGGGGGCAGAGATAAAGGACGCGTGGTTGGGGTGCGTGTTCGTCACACAATGCCTCCGGGATGCAGTGACTTGTGTTGTGAACTCTATGCCCACACACGGATTCTATGCTTAGCTGACGACCATTTTTGTTTCCGTACCGCCACTCGCTCTCACTCTTATTTTGAGGAGAACCCCAGGCCTCACAACATTTAAGTCATCAGCATTTTCATGACACATGGAGTCTTCTACAGCTGCCCTCATGGGTGTGGCAATGACCCCAGGACCAAGCTGAACACTTTCACGCCAGCCTCTGGGATGAGTTTGGCCTCCAGATCCTCAGCTTCACCCTCCGGGCTGCTGAGAAGGGTTGCATCTGCAGAGGAATACGGCAGGAAACATAGTTGGGCGTGGCCAGACATGGAGGACAGGAAGTCTCCCAAGACCCACCCAGTGTGAGTTATGGAAAACGTGGATCCCAACCAACATATCAAACAGATTTTCTATGAGTCATTGGCAGGTTGATTCTCAAATTGATATGAGAACCATCAATAACCCAGTCAGATTTGTTCTGCCTGGTTTCCAAGGTCGCTGTAAGGTGATGTAATCAAGATCGTGGGACCTGGCATGAAGGCAGATGGTTGGGAAGCAAAGGTGAGTAACATACAGACAGACACCCAGAGGCCTCTCACCCCCTCTCCCTCCCTCACCCTGGTGTCTGCCTCCCTCTCCTCTTCCCCCTCCCCACTCTTCCCTCCCTTCCTTTCTTCTTGTCTGTCCTTCTTTCCTCTTTTTGTCTACTCTTTGTAAAGAGCCAGGTCTTCAATCACACTGGACAACTGAAGGAACGAACGAACGGAGAAACAGAACAGAAAGTAAAAAGCTGAAGAGCCCAGCCTGCCTCACATCAGTCTGTGATGTATCATAGCACATGAACTACAGACCGCCATGAGAAAATTCAGGAAAGCACACTCACAACGCAGAGCGAAGGTCAGCTGAGAGCTCACAAAAACGGGCATTATAAACAGAAACTGTGTCCCTGTCCCTGTAGGAGGCCTGCTCTCCAGTCCCTGTCACTGTAGGAGGCCTGTGCCCCAGTCCCTGTCCCTGTAGGAGGCCTGTGCCCCAGTCCCTGTCCCCATAGGAGGCCTGTGCTCCAGTCCCTGTCCCCGTAGGAGGCCTGTGCTCCAGTCCCTGTCCCTGTATGAGGCCTGTGCCCCAGTCCCTGTCCCTGTAGGAGGCCTGTGCCCAGTCCCTGTCCCCATAGGAGGCCTGTGCCCCAGTCCCTGTCCCTGTAGGAGGCCTGTGCTCCACTGTCCCTGTATGAGGCCTGTGCCCAGTCCCTGTCCCTGTAGGAGGCCTGTGCTCCAGTCCCTGTCCCTGTAGGAGGCCTGTGCCCCAGTCCCTGTCCCTGTAGGAGGCCTGTGCTACTGCGTCCAGCTTTATGTGAGTTCTGTGGATCCAAACTCAGCTCATGAGCAGTTTATCCACGGAGCCATCTCCTGGCCTCCGGCTTTCACTCTTTGTGTGTAAATATGTCCTGTGAATAAAAGCAAAGTCAAGATGGCAACTCAAACAGGTCACAAAAGAAAATACAGAAATCCCCCAGATCACAAGAGTGACCAGTGGCTTTATCAAACCACAAATTAAAATCCCATGAATGCACCCAATAGAATGGTTAATATTAAAAAGTCCAACAGTATCAAGTGTTGGCAAGGATGTGCAGCAACCACGGAGCTCTAAACTTTGCTGACGAGGCTATAAATACAACGATTTGGGTAATGTCTCAATATATACATACAAACACACAAGTATGCATACTTGTATGTGTATACATATATGCATGTACATGTAAACAGATTTTTGTTATGTATGACTGCAGGTGCTCACAGAGGCCAGTAGAGGGCAGCAGACTCTCCTGGAACTGGAGTTACAGAGGCCACAGGGATGCTGGGAATTGAACCTGGGTCCCCTGTAAGAGCAGTCAGAGCCCTTAACCGCCAACCATCTCTCCAGCCCTTGAAAGTTGCTTTCAAAGTCAAGCACAGGGGCTGGAGATGGGCAGTGGCTAGGAGTGCATATTGCTCTTCCGTTCGTAGTTCGTTTCCCAGAACTCAAACCAGGTTGCCCCCCCCTCACCCCTCCACCCCCCAGCTCCCCCCCCCCGCAGCCGTCCCCTTTAACTCCAGCTCCTGAGGGACAGATGCCCCTTTTTGGACTTCTTGGGAAACCACACGCATGACGCATAAACATGTAGACAAACATACACACAGATAACAATAAAAAGGAATCCTTAGAGTAATATTCAGGGCTGTGGTCTGGAGCCTTAGCAATGCAGAGAAATTTAAAATCAAATAATAACAAGAAGCACTTACCTTTTGAGTTAGCAAGTCCATGCATGAATATTTACCCAAGAGGCTGTCATTCATGAGGGGTGCTGAGCAGACCGGAAGCCTGTGTGATCAGGGGTGCTGAGCGGACCGGAAGCCTGTGTGATCAGGCGTGTTGAGCAGACCGGAAGCCTGTGTGATCAGGGGTGCTGAGTGGATTCACAGCTTGCCAATCATACTGTGGAGTATTGCTCGGCATACAATGGAGGGAACTATTGACACTCACATTTTATAAAGTCAAGAGCAAGCAACTCTAATGTGTGACCAAAGAAGTCAGGACAGAGGCTCTGCGTTTGGGGGCATGAGAAGAAGCTGACTATGAAATCCCAGAAAAGGAAAACTTGGCGGCATCAAGATGCCATGACGGATGTCGTGCCTCTAGGAAGATATTGTACACAAGCACACCTGCACATTTCCTTCCTGCTGAGAAACTTTCAGATGATCCTCCCAGGCTTTGATTTTAGAGGGAGCCTAAGACAGAGAAGGCAAGACACCTGCCCACGGTCACACAGCGTGTTAGCCCAGGAATAACCTAGTGCCCTCTCGACTCTCCCAATCTGCCCCAGGCCTGCCTCACCTACCTATCAGAGGTCTCGGGACCTTAAAAAGGAGACAGAACGGGGAGCGCCCCTCCACCTGCTATACTGCTGAGGCAGCCAGGGAGGAGCTGCGGCCATCTTGTCCTCCCCGACACACCAGGCGAGGGTGGAGGGTCCCTGTGAGCACTGCAGTGTGAGCAAGTGTAGGGGGGGAGGATGGTGGGAGGCAGGCTGTGGCGGGGAGGGTTGGCTGCCGAAGAGGCGGCCAAGCAGAGCCTCTGCGGACCCACTCGCCCCTAAATCACACGGCCCCATGAATAATAAATAAGAACCCTTGGATCCTTAATAGTAGTCGCATGTCTTATTAAACTAATATTTCACAAACTTTATTCTCCCTGTGGTTTGAGGTCGGGAACAAAGCCGTTGGGGGTGGGGTTGATGCCGAGGGCCTGGGAGGGGCATCGGGGGCCCACCAGAGGCAGCCGCTCAGTCAGTTACCCCCATGTCCAACCTGGCCTGCAGGGCCATAGGTATCCTGTTTGCTCTCTCAGCATTCAACCCGTGGTGACCAGGGTGACCAGCGGCCCAGGGCCTTCTTGGAGCCAGGCCCTGCATGGGACATAGCTCCTCTGCAGAGGGAGACAGACTGTTCTGGAGAGCAGCCAGTGCTGGGACGCAGTGGAGGGCTGAGCTGGGGGCAGGGGTGACTGGGGGAGCTTGGGGGAGCTGGGGAGACGGCTGCACAGGCTCCCAGGAAGGTAGGTCCAGCAAGCTGAGGAGAAGGAATCTCCTGTGTGCCAGGGACCTCCAAGCTGGGCTGTAGGACCCAGACACCTGCTGGGAAACCTCTCTGCCTGGCACCAGCCAGGTGGCCTTGGGAAGACAAGGGCAAGTTCCTGAAATGACCCTGATATGTGAGGAATCAGAAAGGGCTCTGAAGACCCTGGGGCGCCTCGGTTGTGGCCCACGGGCACAGGCTTTGCTTCTAGGCAAAGCAGCTAAAGATGTGGGGAAGGCCTGGGGTTGAGCTCAGTGGTAGAGCACCAGGTTTTGGCTTACCCCGGCCTGCCCTGGTCAGAAGCAGGCAGTCCCAGCCTTGCTAGCCTCAGGGGACCACTTGGAGAGGAAGGTGCACACAGGTCCTTTAACTGATGTCTACTTCCATGCCTTCCCATCCCCAAACCACAGCCGGCGGACAGGCCTTTGGCTCACCTGGAGGCATGATAGAGGTCCCTCCTCCCAGCTCCACAAGTCTCCAGTCTCTGCGTATGACGTCAGCTCGCCTCCACCACACCCTCCAGGCTCTGCGTATGACGTGAGCTCGCCTCCACCACACCCTCCAGTCTCTGCGTATGACGTCAGCTCGCCTCCACCACACCCTCCAGTCTCTGCGTATGACGTCAGCTCGCCTCCACCAACACCCTCCAGTCTCTGCGTATGATGTCAGCTCGCCTCCACCACACCCTCCAGCCCTGTCCTTCTCACAGCGCTCACTCACCTCCTCCCTGTGTCTGGTTGGTGCCAGACTCTGCCAAGTCTGGTGGCTCTGGGCTGGACACTAGCATGGGACAAACACCCTCGAGCGCATCTTCTCCAGCACCCTGAACACACGAGACCTGCCCTGCTAACCCCAGCGACTGTTTCCAGCCCACATGGCTGTCCTGAGCTGGGCTGTCCTGACTCCATGGGGACAGAGCCTCCAGATGCATAGATCCACCCACTTCCCCATCTCCCTACAGAGTGAAGGTTTTCCTCATCCATCCTACACTAATCAAGGCGGTGTCTCTGTCTCACACCTGCTCGTAAGTGCTCCTACTAGCCACACAGGTATAAGGTCTGACGGCCTCTGAGCCCATCCACTCCCTACAGGATAGCCCCAGTCCCATGAGCAAGAGATTCAGTGCTTTGTAACAGTTGGCTGGGTTCATCCTTTATAAGATGGTACCCAGGGTATGTGGCCATGACATCATCCTCACAGCTCCACGCCCTTGGGTAGCTATAAAATGAGGAGACAAAACGAAACGTTAATTGGCTGCTGAGTTCAGGAATAGTAGTAGTCCTGGTTGAGTTTACTAGCTCAATGGAGATTCTAGAATGGGACACCAAGGAGTGGCCTAGAAGTCCCTAATAGGAAGCCATAATCCCAGGAGAGCAGTTGCCAAAAAGAGCCTCTATCTGTGCTCTGACCTCCAGGGTGAAGGTCAGCATACGAAGCCAAGAGGTGGTGAGAAGTCCCTGGGAGCAAACTTTCACACAAAAGGGACACAAGAGCTTGATGGATACGGGGAACCGCCAACACGACTGTCTAGGCCACCTGAGTTCTTAATCCCTGGTAAGAGTGTGTGTGTGGGGGGGAGGATCCCATAGGGTCAGGAGAGGGTTGGGCACGAGGGGAATGTTGAGCCATGTGGCTCAGAACAGGGCGCAGGGCCACGTCAAGATCACAGTAGGCTCTTAAACGTGAGTCCCAGACATGGAGGGAAACCTAGGCTACCCCGGGGAGTCTGGGAAAAGGCAGCGGGGAAGGCATCCTGAGAGTAGAAGCATGCTACAGCCTCCTCTGCTTCTAGACACCTTGCACATGACTCTGGGACCCTAGAGGACACCGGGACCCTGTGCACAGTCACTAGATCAGTAGACAGCAGGATCAAGACAGGGCCCGGGGGGCACGGAGTGGGTGTCCTCCTCAGGCCAGCCTGCAGACTGGCCTTGGTATTCTTTTCCACCCAGAGAAGATGGCCGGCACGGGAAAGGAGGCAAACCTGGTACCTGTCCAAGAAGCCTCAGGCTCTGGGTTTCCAAAAGTGAGCAATGTGGACCCAGAGGGAAGGAGCAGTCCCCATCCCTGCGTCTTCCCAAGGTGGGAGGACCAGCCAGACTGGAAGCATTGTCTACCATAGCCAAGCGGCGTGGCTGCCTGTGGGCAATGGAGGGCAGGACAAACTGGGGTTGAAGTGTAATTGTGAGAAAGGACGTTTCCTCGAGAGCGGTAGTGAGTTCTTCGGCCTTGGAGATAACCAAGTTAAAGCTGGTGACTCTGTGTATGAGTGGGGGGGGGGTGTACTAGAGGCCCTAACCCAGCCTTCCAGCCTTGAAAACGTCATCATGTCATCATGTTTCTACCCCTGGGAATGCCTCTCCCACATGTTAACCCAGGCCCAAATCACACCTCTCTGTGGGAGCCTCCCTGAAGCCATTCAGCCCACGGCTCTCATCTCATTGCCCTGGCTTGCTGGTGCTAACCGGGCACTCCGGCAACTCCAATAGAGTCACACGAAGTTAGAGTGACTCCATCAGCCCCACTGTTACACCGACCTGCACACCGTGAGGCCTGCCCCTGGGTCCCAAGTACAGTGACGCTGACGGTTCATTCTCCCAGGTGGGCAGCTGAGGGTCCCCTGGAAAGACGAAGTGAGCCGTTTCAGGTGACACAGCTGGGCCCAGGAGATCCGAAGGATGCCCCCAGCGCACACAGGCCGACGACTCTCCCAGGGCTGGAGAGATGCTCACCCAAGTTCCCAGGTGAGAGCACCGCACAGATCCCGTGCACCAGCCTCTCCGGGAGCTGCTGGCCTCCGTTGCTCAAGTCCTCGTTCTTTGTCTCTATCCTCGCTGTCCCCACCCTGGCCAGCCTCAGAGCTTGTCACCTAACCCTCCCTTGCCTTGTCTTCCATCCCTCTCCCCCATGTCTCCCTGTCCCCGCTGTTCCCCTCCCATGTCCTCTTCCTGTCTTCCTTCCATTTCCCACTGGCTCCTGCCACCGGGACCCACCGTGTCTCTGCTCCCCCTGTCTTCTGGAGGTCCTTTGTCTTTCCAGCCTGCCGGATTGCTGGCTCCCTGCTCCATTTATGAGCGAGTGTGTTAGTGGACAGGGTAGAGGACGGAGGGCACTCACTAGTGACCCATCCTCAAGATCACCTCATTATTTATCACCAGGGACACTGGTGTTTCCATAAATTACCTCGACCTGGAGCTGCCCGCGCCACAATCGATAGTGCCTCTTGCCTAATACCCAATTATTAATAACCATGGGGGGAAGGGTGTCCAGACATGGCCAGACATGCCACTCTGGGCCCTCGCCTGGCGGGGGGAGGGAGCAGGCTGGGAGGGAGCCGGGAGATGCCTGCACAGGCTGATAGGAGAAGGAGCTAGTGCCACCCTCACGTCCTCCTAAGGTCTGAGCCACTGAATCTGAGACCTCGTCCCACTCTGAGGTCTGAGGAGACAGACAGGGCTGGAGGGTGGGGTCCAGGCAGGGGGAGACAAAGCTCCAGGAGTCCCTGGCATTTGTGTAAACCGACATCCGGATATACACAACCTCAAGCCGTCCCCTTCTCTCTCCCAGAAACACACTTACGCCCCATGTGTGCATCAGGACCATGGTGTTTTTACACACCAAACACTCTCCCCCTGTGGGAGTCCTTCACTCATATAGTTACCCATATTCAAAGACACAAAGACACACTGTTAAAAACACCCACGGAGACACAACAAATATCACATTCAGACAGCCAAGCATGCATGTGTACCAATGCACACGGACCCCTCCAGACTTATTACATTCATTGGAGCACCCTCGAATACCGCCCAGCACATGTACCCTTTGTGCACGAAACGGCCTCTGAAGGCATCTTGCAGGAGTTGGCTGGGGCCTCCTGCGCCTCCCGGAGCCCAGTCGGTGCCAACACTGCCACCGTGTGGCCACGGGTACACAGTGCTACAAGCCTGGACCACCAGGTCGTGGTGGAAGGAGACTGGTGAGAGGCAGCACCCAGACCTCTCCCCATGTCCTCGGCCTGGTCTCTCCATCTAGAGGGGTCCAGCTGTTATTGGCCACTTCAGAGTGAGACTGGGCATACATAGTCCTAGGGAAACTGGGTTGGAAGTTACGGCAGCTGGAGTCAGCCACTGTGGCCGGTGATGTGCGCCCAGCCTCGACCTCCCACTTCGTCCATGTCTCTGCTCCCCTTGGCTAGGGCCTTCCCCCGTGCTGGCATAGACTGTGCTGAGGCACTTATGGTCTCAAGTTCAATCAGACTCGAAGCTTCATTGTCCGTTTATTCATTCATATTGACAGACGAGGCCGTCTGAGTTTGGATACAGTGCCGAGATAATGCCACAGTATGCGTCGCAGACAGGTCTCTGTCCCAAATGTCATCGCTCGACTCTGAAGTGGTGTCGTGGTGGGTCTGTATTAGGTTAACCATCAAGAAATTGCCCACCGTGTAGTTTCAGAATGGTTAACTACTGGCAATTTCCCGATTTACCCCAATGGTAAGCTTAAGTGTCCCAAGAAAGAGCAGTGGACCTCACCTGAAGAGGGCTAAGTCATGGAGGGCTTCCTGGAGAAGGTGTGTGAGCAGTGAGTGCGGTGAAGACGGTGGAAAGGCCCTGCGGTGAGAAAGCTTGCGTGTGAAGATCAAATTGCAGCCAAGAACCAAGAAGCAGAGGGCATGATAAAGACAAAAGAATAGGGGACCTGGGCCATCCAGGCAGGGCCTGCAGCACACTGGGCTGGGAACTTTGAAACGCTCAGTCTAACTGCATGGTGGCAAGGTCACAGGAGAGGGGGACTTTGGGCTCACAGCCTGTCCCACTGAGAGACGAATACACACCAACTATTCCCGCAATCGCTTTGCTCCAGGCTGGTGACTCATGCATGGACAGAACTTCGACTGTCCTGCACGACAGCTGGGGAATAACTTCACTGTGAGATATCAGTTTGATGAAATACTAGGCAGCCGTTAAAATCGTGGCAGCACCATTCATTTGTTTATGTGGAATGATGGACAAGCTTTGTTAAACAAAGAGCATAAAACAGTACTCTTGAGACAGGGCACTCATCATCTGGGATACTCGGGAGGCAGTGGCCGCAGATCCCGCGGCAGCTGAACCTTTGAACACGGGATGTCTCTGTGAGTGTGGTTGTGCACACATGTGTGGAAGTCAGATGACAGTGAGTAGAAGTTGGTTGCCCCACCCCCTTGAGTCAGGGTCTCTCACTTCTACCGCTGTACTGAGTACTCACTCAAGGCCTAGTTGACCTTAGAGTTTCTAGTCGATTCTATTGTCTCTGTTTTCTCTCCAACCATAGGAACTCTGGGAGTACAGGTGCCTACTACAGCATCTGGATTTTCCTGTGAGTTCTGGGGTTGAACTTAGGGCTCAGTTTCAAGCAGCCAGTGCTTATGAGTCTTTTTCTGTCC